AGTTTTTCTCTGTCATTCGGAGCCATTTCTCCAGGAATTTCCTGGAAGTTTTTTCAATCAAGAGTATGGACTAGGAGAGGATGTGTTTCAAATGTAGACTTTGGGAAGCCTCTGGCACTCACATAAGTCTCCTGTGCTGTTGTCCTGTCCTCTGCCTCTCAAGGGGACTGGAAAGAATGGGCATTTCCTTTTTGGCTGCATGGGCAGAGGTAGAGTTCTGGCTCCCTTCCAAAGACGTGCACTCACACATTATCTCCTAGCCACCCTGTGCATGTGAGGGAGCCGAGGGTGTGATGGAGACAGGGTGAAACAAACTGGGATTTCTCCCGAAGAACTCCCTGCTCCTCAAGGTCAAACACTTATCTTATTCCCTCTGTAACACCCTCCCATCCTCACATAGGCAAAAGTTCTAGCTGCTCCATAAATCTGTGCAGCGTTTGCTCACAGAAGTCACTGTGACTTCTAACAAAACAGGTCCCCTACAGAGGACTGTGCCTTGAAAGTCTCAAGTCTCTCTGGCCATTAGGAAAAACCACCACCACTGACAAAACAATACTTGACATTTGTTGAGTGCACACTCTTTTCTCAGGCAGCCTTGGTGTTCATTTGCATGAACCAACGCATTTACTCCTTTACTGTCCTGCTTTGTAGCATGACACTGAGTCACAGAGGACTGATTTGCCCAGGTTTAAAGAGAGTCCATCTCCTCCACCACCACCAATCACAAGAGGAAATTAAAACAGGGACTTTCACACCAGAGACTATAAGTGGACAGCATTTATCCACTTGTCCCACCACCCGCTATCTTTAAGCCACAACACACTAATCTGATTTCAGACTGCATAGTTTGAAAAGCCCTACGTTTGGGGAAAAGACCAAACCTGCCTGAGTAACTTCACTGCAATCTCCAAAAAAAAAGTGAATTCTCTGTAAAATGTCCCTTCTGAAGAAATGCAGTTGTAAAGCGCCCCTTTTAACAGACTTCCAGGAGGCCCTTCAGCCCTCAGGATGCTGGAAACCTTTCCTCCGGCCCCTTCTGCATCGCTTCCTCATTAGAAGCAGCCATCTTTGAATGGGGTCTCTTTGAGGATCTGCTTTCCCAACATATATATAGTCCAGTTTCTGGAAAGCATGCACCTGCCCCGCAGCCAGACCCTACACTGCAGGTGAAAAGGTCACCTGTTTTTGTGCACTGTTCTCTAGGACTGTTCGAAACAGGACGACAAGGAAACCCATGCCCCATCCCCAGCCAGAGACGGTTGCTGGGGTTAAGGAGGAAGCACACTGCTCCGCCCCCTTCCCTTCTCTAACTGCAGTGTTTCAGGCGCAGAAAGGCAGGGTGGGCAGGAGGGGCTTTTAGTCTCATAACGTTACCCGCACAAATGAGTAAAAAGGTTCCGTGTATAGACTTATCAAAGCACACTGGGAATAAATGGGCACATGGGTGTACTAATGCCCTATCAGAAGAGCCAGGCCTAGGAACCTAATACTCACAGCACCAACCCAGGGTCTAACCCGGACCCCATGAGAAGCACACCTGACAATATGGCGGCTCCACCAACCGGTACGGCTTATCATCTGACTACCGAGTTTATCGAGGGACCATCAGAGAACTGTGCCCAGGGCTGCAGCCTTCAACTCCATCAGCTCTGTGCCTCTGCCTCCAGAGAGGCCTCCTTCTGCAGGGTCTCTCTCCCTCTCCACCACCTCTCAGGCAAGCACACCTGCGTAAAATATAAGAGCACGTGATTGCCAATGGCCAGGTGTCCATGGAAAACAGAACTACTTGGTAAATTGTATACAACGCTTAGCGAATATATTCAGTAAAGACACAGCCATGTCCACCCGTGTTTCAGACAGAGACAATCTCGACACTGACATAGGATCACAGATTCCAGTCAGCCTGGACTACTTTTTTTGAGAAAGTCTCCACTTTTTTTGTTGTTCTTTTTTCTTTTTCTTTTTCTTTTTTTTTCGAGACTTCTGGATTGACCTCCAGTATGCACCTTACTTAGAAGATATCTAAGAGATTAAAAAAAAAAAAAAAAAAAAGGTTAAAGGAAATCCACAGGAAGAGAAAGCAGCTAATCAGAGTTAAGTGTCCAATTTTGAAATATATTGGGACACTCAGAACATTACTATCCGGTTTTGTTGACTTAAAGAAACTCCTCTCTCTCTCTCTCTCTCTCTCTCTCTCTCTCTCTCTCGTGCACGTACATGCGCACACACACACATACACACATACTTATTGACACAAATACTACATGGATAACCTTTACTATGAAATGCCTTCAAACCTGTAAGTAAAATTACTCCCTGCTCAGCTCCAGAAAATCAGAGAAAATTCTAAACAGGCTAAAAGGACCTTTGTCCTGACCTGAAATTCCCTTGAGTGATGAGGTTGGCAGCAAGAAATCGGTGTACATGGCTCTGGACAGAACCTGTACCTCATTACCTACATTGACTTCCAGTCTTTATATCCCCCAAACATTAAATGTGGCTCTTGAACACACTGAGTAAAAAATAAAAATGGGGGACTGAAGAGATGGCTTAGTGGTTAAGACTACTGGTTGCTCTTCTAGAGGACCTAGTTTCAATTCCCAGCACCCACACAGTGGTTCAAAACCACCCATAAGGCCAGGTCTTCTGGCCTCCTTGGGCACTGCATGTATGTGCTACACAGACATACATGCAGACAAATGCTCATACACATACAATAAAAAGAAAGAAAATTGTGGTGTAAAGCTCGAGAATGTGAATCCAGCACTCTGGCGGCAGAGACAGGTGGATCTCTGTGAGTTGGAGGACAGCCTGGTCTACAAAGCATGTCCAGGACAACCAAGGCTACACAGAGAAACCCTGCTGGGGGGGGGGGGGGGGACCTGTCAAGTGTGAACCTCTCGAGGAAGGAGCAAGCTTACTGATCAAACCCAGGTAGAAGTTTTCATATTTTAGCCACACAGTGGCACACAACTGTAATCCCGGCACTTGGGAGTTTTAGGTAGAAGTTTAAACTCAAGGCCAGTCTGAGAAATATAACAAGACCCTGTCTCTAAAAGGTTGGAATCCAGGCCAGCAAGATGGTCAAGTGTTAAAACAGTGCCTGCTGCCAAGCTTGACAATCTGAGTCCAATACAAGGACCAGCTAAACAGAAGAGAACTCACTCCTAGGGTTGTCCTCTGACCCTCACATATCCACTGTGCTACACATATACACACACTCACAACATATATACATACACATGCACACAAAATAAAACAGGAAGCAAACCAACCCACCCAAGACAGGAATAGTGGTACACTTTTCATCCTAGCCCTTGGGAGGCAGAGGCAGGTGGATCTCTGAGTTCAAGGTCAGCAAGGTCTATATAGAGAAACACCCATCTCAAACAAATCAGACCTCATCCTAAAATATGCTAAATGTTCTTACACAAATAAAATGAGACTAAAGGTTCACAAGGCTGGGGACGGAGCTCATGCCTAGCACAGCATGTGACTTGAGCTATGAGCTGCAGATCAAGAGTGTTTACTTCTGAGGCCAGGCATGGCAGAACACACATAACCCCCAAAACTTGGAAAGCTGAGGCGTAAGGACGTCAGTGAGTTCCCAGTGGGCCTGGACTATACACACAGCAAAATCCTGTGTCAAAAACAAAAGCAAAACAAAGAGGAGAAAGCCAACTCAAAAGTTCATGCTGTTTCCCAATTCTCTGAACACTCTCCAAATATAATTAATGTTTTGTTATTGTTTTGGGTTTGGTGCTGGGGATTGAAGCCAGGCCAAGTATAGCCACTGCCACTGACCTATGTGCCCATCCCTGCCCCTCCCCCTCTTTTAAAATGAGACTCTTCCTATGCTGATCAGGCTAGTCTCAGACTTCAGGGCTAAAGTGACCTTGTTTCAGCCTCACCAACGCTAGAGCTCCAGGAGCATGCAACCATACCTGGCTTTCCCGTTTTCCTATAGCATGCTACGTTATCATTCTTAGTTTTCTGAATCATTAGTATGTCAAGTACTGAGACTGCCATCTACGGAAACTTGTTCTCCAGTGTTTCACTTGTGCTTATGACGGCATCTCCTCTGGCAGGGCTGATTGGTTTCCTAGCTCAGTCTCTTAAAGGCGAAACTGATTCTTCTCCATCAGTCTCACATCTGGTCCAACCCCAAGGGGAACAGGAAGATGGCAGCAATTTCATCAAGAAAACAAAACTACTAGCTCTTCCATCTCCCTGTCACATCCATGCCCTGCTTGCAAGCTGCTAAGCCATCTCAGGAGTTCCAGTGCACTTTGAAATGTACACACACTTAATAGAAAAGAATGACCCACATCAATGTGTGGGGTTGCTGGCGGCACAAGCCGTGGTTAGAGAATTGTCTGAGACTACACAAGAAGTCGGATTTGCTTCCTTTTCTGGCCACTTTAACTCCTAATGGAAACCTCCATTCTTAAAGAGATGACTTTTGAGCAGTCATATCCTCTGAATGCTTTTCAAGTAAATCCAAACACTGTCCTACAGGCATTTTAAAAGGGGTGGTGGTACATACTTGTAATCAGTCCCAGCACTCAGAAAATAGAGGTAGGTGGATATCTAAACATTCAAGGCCAGCTAGAGATAGAGACCTTATACGGTCTCTTAAAAGGAGGGAAGACATTTGCAGGAGTGGGGGGGGGGGATTGAAGGCAAAGCTTTTAATAAGAGAAATAACCATTACTTGATAGGTCTATTCAGGACTGTAAGTACACCTTAGAGCGACAATCCACCAGTAAACTTGAACGTATAAGACTCCAGCTGGGGGCTGGAGAGATGGCTCAGAGGTTAAGAACACTAGTTCTTCCAAAGGTCCTGACTTCAATTCCTAGCAACCATATGGTGGCTCACAGCCATCTTATGAGATCTGGTGCAGTATTCTGGCCTGCAGGCACACATGCAGACAGAACCCTGCATAATAAATAAGTGGGAGTTAAGCTGTCAGGGGAGAGGGGAAAAAAAAGTCAAAATTCAGACTACTCAAAGTGGTACTGTAATTTCTTATAATACAGCAACAATATGGTTTTTGAATTAACTAAGCCCTACACCACACAACCATATAATTCCAAAGCAATAACAAAATGACATTAGCAATGAGGACATAATTAGCAGTGAGTTGTTCTTACTAAAAAACCCAGATTTTTTGTACTTTCCATGTTTGTGTTTAACTTAGCTTCATAAATCCACTCATAATTAAGTATGGGGTTTCCAACATCAAAAACTATTTTCAAGGCTAAGGATGTCACTCAGTGGTAGAGCACTTGCCTAACAATCTTTCACGGGGCTGAGTCTCATCCCTCACCACACCCCACTTGCACACACTATACGGACCAAGTCTGTGTGTGTATGTTAGAATTACCTTCATACTTTAATATGCACCCTCCCACCTGGCAGTGCCTCCACACCAGCAAATATGTTGCCAATGGAAACAAGAGAACTCAAGCCACCAAAAGTCAAGAGTAGGAGGGAAAACGGGAGATAAAAATATGTAACTATTCCCTCCATTTCTGGAGCTACAGGGACTGTTTAGATGAGCATTAAATTATATGTAAGTAGCTGTTCATACAGAACTACAATTACTTTGAAAACAAGATCACACATAGAAAATACTTCTACATCATTTAGTTATCAAGTTTCTCTAATGGGAAAAGAAATAGTCTTTTTTAGAAAACTTATAAACAGGTTTGTTGGTGCATTCCTTCAATCCCAGCAAAAATAGGTGGATGTGAGTCTGAAGCCAGACTCAGGAGGAGGAGGAGAAAGGGGGCAGGGGAAAAAATGGCTGTGTTCATTTCAATCCCAAGGAAGCCTATAAATGAAGTTTGGTTTATATTTTCTAAATGCAATGCACATTAGCAGCTGACCACCATTCACAAACTGAGCAGAATGGCAGACACACAAGCAATCTCTGAAGCACATGGCTGTAGGACATTCCAAATGGGAAGAACATCAATCACTTGCAGGGGAAAAAAAATGAACCGAAGTCACAAAAACGTTAAGAGCAAGAACATGCACTCTTTAAAAAGGCATTTCAACAACCTAGAAAACAGTGTATGGCTGTTAAGAGGGAAAGGGGCCGGGAGTCTAGTTCAGTGGTTGCACTTGCCTCGCATGTGAGGCACCAGGTTCAATCCTCAGTACCGTGAAGAAAAGCAAAGGCCCTGACATGGGTGTAAGGCCATTTCAAGCTGAAATGAAGCAGCCCTACACAGAACACTGGGACACTACAAGGAACTGACTTCGTGGGAAATGAGTGACTCAAAACTCAAAGTTTGTAGGTCTGTAAAAATATATTAATGCACAAAATAATAAAAATAGACGCTGGATTTTCCTCCTTGGGTAAGCTCCACGTGATGCATTTCCAGGGAAGAGTTTCCATTGAGCAGCATACGCTTGCCGGGCTCACCAGCATCAGTGCACGGGGTTATCAAGTGCAGCCAGTCCTCACATCCCCGAGTGACTTGCTTTTCCACCCACACTCACAGGCTCTATTTCCATTACAAGACACTAGCTTTCTAGTGCTACATTTTAATCAACGTTATTACATTTTAAAAGTCTTGATTTTTTTGAGTGAATCTTTTAGTGCGATACAACATGATGGAGTAAACGCTGAAGACCACTTGACAGCTACAGGGAAAGGTTTGATTTAAAATATGATCAAGATGAGACTGTATCAGAAGCAGTGAGACATTAGTGAGTGGATAGGTAAGGTACTCTTCATCAGTGGCCATTCATAATTTTGCCTTTAGAAACTTGGAAGAAATTGTCATCTTTGAGTTTCAAGTGTTCTGGTAAATCCAGTTGTTTCTTAGCTTCTTCAATATCACCTTGAATTGCTGAAATAAGTGCCTCTGGAAGAAAAGAAAACTGATAAACTTGTAATACATTTTACTTCTCCTTTGCTCAACCCCTCCTAAAAACACATAAATAGCCACAGTGGCCACAGCCCTAGCAAAGGACAGAGGAGCAATCAGGGCTAGTCCCATGTCTTTCTCCAGGGAAAGTCAGTGTTATGCAAAATGTTCTCTCATAAGGAACAAAAAAACAAAAACAAAAAAACTTTCACATCACAGTTGTACCTATGTCAACAGGCATTTAATGACACCTGAGACAAATCTCTTCTAATTGCTACTTCTCACATTTCCAGCAACCTTCTATCCAGCCAGCCTTGCAGGGGCAGATGTCAGACAGCATCACTCACTACCTGTTAGAACTTCGGTGTCTCCTGGAACTCATGTGCTAGAAACAACCCCTAAGGGTGAAGGTATCTGGAAGTGGAAACTCTGGGAAGTGACTGGGCCAGGAGGACAGAATAGATTCCTGAGTACAGAGTAGCTGTGATACACGAATGAGCTTGTAGCCACCTCCTGAGGCAGCAAGAAGACCCTCACTAGGTACTGACTACACGCTACCATCATGCTCCTAACTCCAGCCTCCAGAACTATACACCAAATAAATACCTTGTACTTCGTCAGACCTACAGAAAACAGACTGAGGCAAACTACTTAACCTCTGTGTGGTGTTCTTTCTCAAGGAGATGGGTATAGCAACACCTCATATGGCTACTGTGGGTGACAAAGGGATTAACTTGTATATGAGACTTGAAAATAGTGCATTAAAATGCTCAACTATATGTCCCATCATAGTAGCAGCTGTAGCAGCCATAATACTATTGAAGATTAATTTAAATTCTTACCTAAAGAATCAAAGTTCTTTTCAGGTCTAAGGTAGCCAACAATGGCCACATTGAGAATTTCCCCATAGAAGTCCTCTTTGAATGTATGTATGATGTGGGTTTCCTACAAACAAAAACATTGAGAAGGTTACCCCTGGAGTTGTAGAGACAGCTCAACAACCAGTTAAAAAGCAGCAGGTCCTCTTCTGGAGGACCCAGGTTTGATTCCCAGAATCCAGAGGATGACACATAACTGTAACTTCAATCCCAGGAGATCCAACAACCTCTTCTGGTCTCCTCTGACACCAGGCACATACATGGTGCATTTTACATATATGCAGGCAAAACATTTATATGCATAAAATAAAATAAATGACATGTTAAAAATAAATCAAACTGTAGGCCTCTCCTATGAGTCCTGGCATGACCCCTGTTTAAAATGAGGTGGGAGGAAGAGCAATCCATCCTGGTTAGATGAATCAGACTTTCCTCACGCGTACATCTAAGAGCAGGAGGCACATTGGCGGCGCACACCAACAATCCCAGCACTCAAGAGGGTGAGGAATGAAACCTAGAGCTCAAAGCCTGGCTACATATAAAATCTCAGGCTGCCCTGGGTTATAAAGACCCTTTCTCAAACAAATAAACAAACACACAATCCACAGAAATAAGACAGGAAGGAAAGACCAGACTAAACGAAACTAGGATTGTATTAGAAACCGGGGACTTCTATAAACTAGAACAATCTATCTTGAGGTATATTTTTAAGTATATGACTTTTCCTGATTTATGAACCTATCCTAATTATCTGTTTTAGCTACAATCATTTAGAGCAAGAGAGAACTTTAAAACAAATTATGAAAGACCTATTTAAAAATAAACTAAACATGCCGGGCAGCGGTGGCACATGCCTTTAATCCCAGTACTCAGGAGGCAGAGGCAGGCTGATTGCTGAGTTCAAGGCCAGCCTGGTCTACAAAGAAGGAGTTCCAAAACAGCCAGGGCTGTCTCAAAAAAAATTTAAAAAAAATTTTAAAACATAAACTCCTAAAGTTCACACTCTCTTCTCCTAGGGATCAAACTCACAGCCTTTCATTCACAGGGAGATTTCCACACTAAGGCCTTGGGTCTTTCAGGCAGGCTTGGATGCAGCCCTTGAGCTCCTCTGGCTCTTGCCTCCTGGGGACTGAGAGTGCAGCACCCTGCAGGCTGCTGAGAGCCTTCTGAGCTTGTCAACAAAGGAGCAGTAGTGAAGCTGCAGCTGCTGCCCTGTTCTGCCCCATCTTCTCAATTTAGAGGGAAGAACTTGGGACATACCCTCTCTTATTATATCCACATTTCAAAATACCCTTAAAAAAAAAAAAAGAGCATCAGAAAACCTAACCAGCTATACTAAAACTGATATGGTAAAACCAAAAGCATCCAAGAAAGTCTTGAGAACAGAACTGGGGAATTTACATTAACGAGAATCAGGCCTGTGGTGCTGACCTGTAAGTCCAGCTATTTGGGAGGCTGCGGCAAGAGATCTTGCCTGTCTGGGGTACAGAGCAAAGTCAAGACCAGCTCCGGCAACTCAGTGAAACCATCTAACAAAAAATGGGTAGAGCACTGGGATATAGCTCATGGTAAGGTCTTGTTAGGTATGGGCAAGATTTCCACAATGCTATGGAAATTCAACAGTGTGATAGGGGCTCAAGGATAGAAAATAGCTCTGTAATCCCAGCACTCAGGAGCTGGGGTAAGATTACCTATCAGGCAAGAGTCCTATCAGACTAGGCTACAGGAGAGCCTTTCTCCATAGGAGATGGGCTGGACGAAGCGCACACCTATAATTCCAGCACTCTGGGAGGCAAAGGCAGGTGAATTCCAAACCAACCAGATCTACAAAGAGGGAGTTCAGGACAGCCAAGGCTACACAGAGAAACCCTATCTCAAAAATCCAAAAACAGGTGAGATGGCTTAGTGGGCAAAGGTGGTTGGCACCAACCTAGAAGATCTGAGTTTGATCCCTAATTAGATTATTAAAAACACTAGCTATTAAAGAAAATAATGATCTGGCCTATACTAAAATAGGACACTTTTATTAGGGCAAAAAGATTCCTCATAGATAGCTGTCATTGACAACTAACAATTATTAAAATAAACAGCCTGCCCTGAACTGCATGAGCATCATGACAGGGGTAACTGAGTTTCAAACAGCATAAGAATTCAAGGCAGTCCCGAAGTGGCTTGATACTTCTATTATCTGAGCAGCTTACAAAGGAAGTGAAACCTCTCCTGTCTTTTCCTTCTTCTCCCCACAGGAAAACAAGCTAGTGTTCTCTTATCAACTCTTCTTATCTCTCAAACAATTTTCACCCCCTAAATCAGCAGTCTCAGGGACTTCAACTTTGAGAGTTCAAGGTCATTAAGATCCATTACAGCAGCTCTCAACCTGTGGGTGTCCACCCCCTTAGCAAACCTCTACCTCCAAAAAAATATTTACATTTACATTATGATTCATAACAGTAACAAAATTACAGTTATAAAGTGGCAACAAAAATATTTTTTATGGTTGTAGGTCACCATAAGATGATAAACTATTAAGGGGATGAATAATTAGGAAAGTTGAGAACCACTAATTTATTAAATCAGCACTTAGGTCTGTGGTTTTCTGTGACACCCTTCTCTCTTATTAACTCCTCAAAGTTAAAATTTTAACTTTAACTCCTGTGTGCTGGCACAGGCCTGGCACTCAGAAGGCAGAGGATGGTTTATGAGTTCAAGGTCAGCCAGGGTTACATAGCAAAACCATAAAATAAAATTCTACCACTAACTCTACTTTTTCCACACATCTGGGCTACAAAAGATTATATCAAGTCCAACAAGTATTTAAGCTTGGGGGCTCCTGTGAGTAAAAGTAGGCAAGAAAACAAAACAAAAACCCTATACCCTCAAAGCAATTTTAGAGGGGCTAAGAGGGTAGCTGCTGGGGTGATGCTTCTGTGCACTGTGTATTCAAATGCTGATTTATGTACCCAGATCTGACTGCAGTCCAGACTTTGGTACTGTCATTATTACGAAGCATCTCTGACTCAATATTTTGTAAAACATTGTTCTACATCACCTGACTGGTCAAATAAAGAAATGAATGGCCAACGAGAAAGAGAGACAGAGAGGTGTGTCTCTGGTGGGACCAGAGAGGGTGGAAGTTGCCATCAGAACAGAGATGAAGGCTGTGCAAGGGTAAGACTAAGATGGCAGGTAAAGGGCCACCTGGCTGGGAAGTAGGCCACACCAGTGTTACTGGGTTAGAATAGCCGAGTATCCAGTGTCCAAATGGGTTCCCTAGCAATGGGAACAGGGACTCTCTGACATGAACTCAGGGGCTAGCTCTTTGATCAACATTCCCCCCTGGCGGGGGGGAAAGGGGGAGGACATTGCAGCCTTACCAGGCCACAGAGGAAGCCAATATAGGCACTCCTGATGAGACCTGAGAGACTAGGATCAGATGGAAGGGGAGGAGGACCTCCTCTATCAGTGGACTGGGGGAGGGAGGGGCATGGGTAGAGAAGAGGGAGGCAGGGACTGGGAGGGGATGGGAAAGGGGGCTACAGTTGGGATACAAAGTGAATAAACTGTAATTAATAAAAAAAATTTTTTTAAATAAGAAAAAAAAAATAGCCAAGTATCTGCCCAGATATAGCGCCTGAAGCTTTTAATAAATACAATAGGTCTCTGTCATTATTCAGAGCAAGGGCGGGCATATAAAAATTTCAGGTAGGTAAGTAAAATGCTGGGCCAGTATCCCGTGGCCCTGGATGGAAGGCCTGGTTCGATTCCCAGCAATGTTAAAAGACAACAGAGCAGGAGAGAGAGCAGAATGAGGTTGCGCAGCACCACAGTAAGCAGTTTTTCTAAAGGCAGTTAATGCAACTTTTAATAAGACACTAACTGGCAAAGACCAACTTCCTGAATGCTTCTTTAAAGAGCCTCACTTTGGAGCTTTTCGATGGCCCCTGCCTGTAATCCTAGCACTTAGAAGGCAGAATATTTTGGTGTCCTGGGCTACAAGAATGAGGTCTAGAACAAGCTGAGCTAAATAGAAAGATCATGTCTTAAGCAAACAAAGCAGCTGGGCATGGTGACACATGCCTTTAATCCCAGCACTGGGAAGGTGGAGGCAGGTGGATGGATCTGTGTGAGTTCCAGGTCAGGTAGGGACACAGTGAGACCCTGTCTCAAACTAATGCCTCATTCTTATTTCTGATAAATACAAATGCATGAGCAATGACAAAGACATAAAACACCTGGTAGCACACCCACATCTGTCACCTAGCACAAGGAAGACTCAAATAGGGTATCACAATACAATCCAAGCTATATTTGTTATCCTCCTGCATCAGTGAGGATTATAGGCATGTCCAATTATATGGCTGCAGCAGTTATTTTAACTCAAAATGGAGGGCTAGGGTGATGTCTCAGCAGCAGTTAAGAGCATGTAAGGACCTGTGTTTTGTTCTCACCACTCAAGCTGGACAGCTTCAGTTAACTCCAGTTCCAATGGATCCAACCTTTCTGGTTCCATGGGCACCTAAGCTCATATCCACACAGACAGACACAATACAGAATATTTAACTTAAATGGATTAAACTTGTCAGTCAAACCTGGGTGTGGTGGTTCTTGCCTTTAATCCCTGTACTTAGGAACCAGAGGCTGGTGGATCAAGGCCAGCCTGATGTACATAATGAGCTACAGGACAGCCACACAGCTTTGTAGTTGGCATCCTGTCTCACAAAAAAAAAAAAAAAAA